TGATAAACAATAAAATTACAAATAGAGTTATACCTTTCCTTGTCCCACTATTATCTGGTATAGTTTATAATGCTCTTATAACACTCTTAACACCTCTTATATATATTTCTATAACACTACACACAATGCATATACATATACTATTTTCTAAGTATTATCACCACTCTTATTTTCATTCACTATCACCCTCATTTGAGTGATCACCAGTCTCTATATTTCTTTACTATACTATAATTACTTTCTCACTTCTGTTTAATTCAATTACTCAATTATACTTATTTCTATTCACTAATACAATTCATTTACTTCATTCCTTTTAATACATTGCCTGCTGCCCCCTTTTCTACTTGTAGCTTAATCACTGCTTGTATATGAGTGCTACAATATTGCATCGGCCTTTTTTCTCTCTGTCTCAATTTAATGTATCCACCAATTGTATCACCTTTTCTTTTTTCTTCTTCTTCTTCTTCTTCTTCTTCTTCTTCTTCTTCTTCTTCTTCTTCTTCTTCTTCTTCTTCTTCTTCTTCTTCTTCTTCTTCTTCTTCTTCTTCTTCTTCTTCTTCTTCTTCTTCTTCTTCTTCTTCTTCTTCTTCTTCTTCTTCTTCTTCTTCTTCTTCTTCTTCTTCTTCTTTCTGCGCCTTCTCTCAGCCAAATGTTCCTCACCTCCTTCAGGGGTTTTCCTCGTCTCCCGTACGAAGCTGTCAGTTCTATTTTTCGCTTCCCTCTCAGACTGTCGCCATCGCTCCAGGCCGGCCTTAGAGACCGGCTTCTTCTCTGCCAATTTTAAAAGTGCTGCTCCTGTTTGCTCGGGTGTTTGCGTTCCACCCGGCTTCTCTGAAGCTTCCTCTTTAGTTTACCAATCTCTCCGGGATCGGCAAAGCCCTTTCTGGGCTCTTAGCGAAGATTTCCCGGGATTTAGGAACAGAGATTCCTAAAGATTCCTTCACCCGCTCCACGATGAGGTCACAGCCGGAAGTCTATTCCTTCATTCCTATGCAGTCTTGATATTTACTATAGTGATCGGGAATAACCAGAATTGAGACATAGTCCAAAACCAACATATATCTATTGCTAAAAACTTAATGCTTAAATATATAGAATTACCATCTTCCCAATTCGTTAGGGAAGATGATCAGAAGGCAGGAATGCCCTACTGAATTAATTGAAAAGATTCAATTAATCAACTGAAGAGATACAACTCAAGCCTCATAGTATTTTCTTGTCACAGGCAGTTTGACTGTATTAATTCTCTACCCACTGATAGAAAATACAATCTTAAGTGTTGATACACTCTAACTATGACAAAAGTGATTGATTTTGATGCATTATCTGACTCTCTCTCTCTCTCTCTCTTTTTTTTAATTTTACAGAACATCTGCCAGACACAATGAAAGTACAAGCCTTGAAGTCTGGAAAACCAGCTGCCCATGCTATTGGTGAGAAGACATTTTAAATAGCTTGAAAGGGGTTGCTGGAGATGGGCTTCACATGTACATAACACGTGTGGGCTTTTCTGATTTGATGAAAATAAAACTCTTGGAAAGAAGAAACATTTATGACATTCTGCAAAGAGGCAGCTTTTTGAGATAAGAGGCCATTTCAGTAACTATGAACTCCTGCCACACTTGCAATTAAGACTATGCCCAACAAGAAGCTATTGGATGAAACACAGACCTTAAGATGAAAGAAAGGGGAGGTTTGTACTAATAATTTGGACTTGCCTTAATTTGGCTATGATTCTCTCCAATCATCTTAGACTGTTTTTTTTTTATTATGTAAGTGCTTAAGATGTGAGAGGATGGTCAGTAAAAAGTTACCCAGTGAGCTTCCATAGCATAGAATATCTATCATGAAAAGCTTTTACTTAAGAAAACATTACAAGCCTTGTTGAAGTTGTCCAATGCAGCCTTTCTCCTATAGGAGCAGTAATCAAATTTGGAGATGTCAACCTTATGCACAAATTGGCTCAAGTCAGGTTGCCTGAAGGTTTCCCCTATCAGGATCTGGTTTTGTGCTCTTAGGCCTGCCAAGGCATTAAATACATCTCAGTTCCACTAAATCTCATAGCAGTTTTCCCCAGTTTGGCATCCTCCAGATGTTTCATACTACAGCTCCCACAAATCCATGGGCTATCTTAGAATCCACAGGATTGTGAAAGCTGCAGTTGAGCATACCTGGAAGGCACCTGAGGGAAATTGTGACTCAGAAACAGATACAGAATAAGGAATTCATTCTTCTTTAAGTTGACCAGTTCCTCTTCTTAATACTGATGATTTTTTTTTTTTCGCTTCACAGCTTCTTCCCGTTATTCACCACAACTGAAGTGGACTACAGATGTGGTTCCTTCCATTCTGGAGAATGGCATGCGGCTGGATGAGAATGAAAACTCCCTTATTGTGCCTTCTACTGGATTGTACTTTGTCTATTCTCAGCTTTTGTTCCACAAAGACCACTGCAAAAAGCCTCTTCTGCTCACCCACAACATCACCTTCTGGTCCTCAGAGTTCAGCTTTGAGGTAGAATTGCTAAAATCCATTAAATCTGTCTGTGAAGATGCCTCCAGCGATAAAAAATTGTGGTTTGAATCTATTTATCAAGGGGCTGTCTTCAAGCTGAATAGAGGAGACCGCTTGCTGTCCAAAACAAATCTCCCTGAATTTCTGGACTTCACTCATTCAACCCAGATTTATTTTGGGGTCATTGCTATGTAAGAAAAAGACTTTATGATAACAACCACATGTTTGTAATTCATGTACTTCATGTATCTTCATGGGGTTTTTTTTCAGCTTATAGGAAGGTCCCCAAAACTTATTTGTAGGCAGGCAGTATAAGCATCATTAGTGTGAGTCGCTTTTAAATGGTCTAAACTTTTTATTTATTAATATTTATTTATTGAGCTTCTAATATAATTTTGAAACTTCAAGCCTTTTTTTTTTCCCCTGTGTCGGAGATCCTTGCAAAAAGAGACTGCACTTTTACAGGCAATGAATGCATACACGTGGAACAATGTAGTTGTGATTCCCCATTAAGTGGGTTCATGTTGATGAACCTGTGTTTGGGGTATTGTAAAAATGCTTGTGTGGCTATCTCTAAGCAGGATTTCCATTCCTTTGTTCCCCAGTCTAGGTTAAGATTTGAATATTTACATATATATACATGTATACTGTGTATATGTGACATTATTTGATTGTGTTGATTTAATCATGTATATTACATGAATTATTCTGAATTTTGGGTAGAGGATAATATTGGGCTATGGATCCTGGTATTTTTTGCCCAGCCAACAGTACAGTCCCATCCAAGTTTATTTGGAAAGCTCCTAACATTCTCTCTTGGATTGTACTGTTTCAGTCTGATGTCGGAAAGTCTGACATTTTTGGTATTTCATTGGCACCCTACAGGTTTTATGCAGAAATGCCTTACATTACTGTACAGGGTTGCCATGAAAAAAAAGGTTTTTTTAAGTATTATATATATATTTTACTAGCACATGGCTTATTTATTTATTTATGTATTTATTTATTTGTCTATTTATTCTGTTCTGAATCTCTGCTTCGCAGAAAGTGAAAACACATTTTGTTAAGATAGAGACATGTACCTTGGCTTGACTCTGTATTGAAAGATCTCTTTGAATGAGGCCAAACAATAAAATGAAATTTTGTAATGGACCGCATCTGCTCAGAGTTGTTCTGTTCGGTTTGATTTTTATTCCTGAGTGATAATAACTTCAGTCTGAAGTCCAAGAGTACATCTTTAGCATCCAAAGAACGGATCCAAGAAATATCATAAGGATAAGGTACAATCAACCTTAAGTACTTCTTGAATATTACAGTATTGTAGAGGCATGAACAGATGGACTCAATTTAGCCTCTCCGCAATAATAGCTGTCTTCCATTGGCCCTATTGGGTATCCTGTCCCTGTCTTGTTTGCCCCTCCCCATTCCCCAATTGATTCTTATACATGCTAGGCAAACACAACTTCTCCTTCCAAAATAAAGGTAAAGGTTTCTTCTGTCCAGTCGTGTCCAACTCTAGACGTTGGTGCTTATCTCCATTTCTTAGCTGAGGGAACCAGCATTGTCTGAGAATGATTCCATGGTCATGTGACCAGCATGACTGTACGCTGAGGCATATGGAACGCTGCTACCTTCCCAGTGAAATGGTACCTATTTATCTGCTTGCATTTGCACAGTTTCAAACTGCTAAGTCGGCAGGAGCTGGGGCAAGTAATGGGAGCTTACCCTATCACGCGGGTGCTCGGGTCATAAACCTGGGTTGCCAGCTGACAAGATAGACGTTTTTAACGCTGAGCCATCACACTACCAAAATGTTACTAACCTATGCCATTACAGTGCACTCCAAGATAACTCATAAATTGAATAAACATGGCTGCAAATTACACTCCCATACGGGTGACCCAAATTAATCCTTGTTGCAATATGACTCCTTCTCCTCTCCAAAATTCCAAAGATACTAACATAGCTAGTCTGTAATAACAACGCAGGACCCTGTAAGACCTTTGAGGCTGCAGAGATGCAAGCCTCCTGGCAACTCCAATTTACAAAAGGCTCTCAGATGGGCCCTCAGTGGATTCCAAACCACAATTTCAAGACATGACTCAAAGAAACCAGGATACGATGAAATGTCACCTAGCCAACTCTCTTATCTGCAAAAGGCTGGTTGACTCAGTTGAGAGGCTTATTTAATTTTTCAGAGCAGTCCTTTTCTGTGTCTTTCTTTGGCAGGACATCTTTACAGGAAAACTCAACCATTTATAGCAACTTGCTTTCTGCTAGATGACTCTGAATCTCTACAAAAGCATTTCTCAACCTTCACAACTTCAAGATGCACGAAGTTCAACTCCCAGAATTCTCCAACCAATATGCTGGCTGGAGAATTCTGGTCCACAGAAGTTGAAGTTTATAGATGTTGAGAATTCTGGAAGATGAAGTCCACAGTTGTTGAATTCTGGAAGCTGAAGTCCACAACTGTCGAAGTCCACCTTTTCCACCACTCAGGAAAAAGGTGTGAGGAGAAAGTGGAACATCATTGACAGGAGAAACTGGACAGGATGACCAGATCCTTAATGGATTCTGATTTCTCCATCCCTTGTATGGGTCTTTCCTGCCTCATTCCAAGGGTTGTGATGCTGAATCTAATGGGATCCATAAAGGGAAGTCTATGTATGTATGTATGTATGTATGTATGTATGTATGTATCCATCCATCTCTCTCTCTCTCTCTCTCTCTCTCTCTCTCTCTCTCTCTCTCTCTCTCTCTCTCTCTCTCTCTTATTTATATCCTGCCTTTGATTTAAGAGCTCAAGGTAAAATATAATGTATAGTACTCTCTTATTTTGTATTTCCCTACAAGTATAACACTGTGAGGCAGGTTTGACTAAGAGAGACTACAACATAGGTTTTTACATTCTCAGTCCCTCCACAACCCCATACTGATTCTCAGGCTGGGAGAGAGTGGTTGGCCCAAAAGATCTTCTAAGGCTGAGGGGGAACTCCTGAGTCTCACCACTAGACCTCTTAGACTGAGAGGAAGACCCAAAATCTCCTGAGGAGAACTTCCATGGCCCAAGTAAGACCAGAACTTTTAGACAGCATCTTTATCATTAGACTACATTGACTGTTGAGTTGCAAGAAAGGGAATGGTTCAGTGTTGTCTATTGAGTTTCTACAATTGAGGGGAAAGTAGAATTAGAGTCTCTAGTATACTCTTATTCTGTACTTTCAATGCCTGGACAGGGAGTCTTACATACAGAAATTAAGCTAAGAAGGAGTTTATCAGCATTAGTCATATATTGTCAAAGTTTTAGTTTCATAATTAAATAATCAAAGCAGCATGACAAATAACCAGAACAGACGATCATTTAATGATCAGAGGAAGGCCCCAGATGTCACATTCTTTTGAAGCAGCAAAGGGTGTCCTAGCTGCAATTTTCCAGAGTCAAGAATGGTAGATTGATTGAGTTCTCTTTTACAGGTAGTCCTTATGTTATGACCATAACGGAGCCAGCCCATCACTGTTGTAATTTGTAACAGTCATAAAATGGGTCAGTCATGTGATCAACTTGATTTTATGACCTGCTTGCAGTGGTCATTAAACGAATCACTGTGGTTGTTAAAAGAGTCATTAAGAAAACCAATGGTTCACTATGGGCACAGTTTTGCCAAAAACCAGAAGTAAATGCCAAGGTTTGGCAAAACTGTTATAAAATGCAGCCACGTGACCATGGGACACTACAATTGGCTATAAATGGGGCCTGGTTGCTCAGTGCTAGAAGTGAGGTCATGTGACCACAGAGAGGGCAACCGTTGGCATTTCAAATCTGGGTTGTAAATATCCCCCCTCCCCCTCTCCCCATTGATCCATTGGAACTGAATGGTCGCCAAGCAACCTATACACCAGAATCATTCCCTTTTAATTGGTCTCTTTTTCTATTTGAGAGCATCATGAGCAAATTATTTGGATTAAATTGCAGATGTCCTCCTCCCCTCCCTTCTTTTTTTTAATTATTCTTTTGCAATTTTTTAAACCACATTTCCAATTTTAAAAGCCCACAAACTGATCTGGGCCCTTCGTTGCTGAACATGCTATCGTTTCCTGGATTTTTAGGCTTCATTGTTGGCATTTTAAAAGCTGATATTAGCCTTTTAAATTTGGCAGTCTAGGCCTCTTTTTTTTTTTTTTTTTTTAACTTCAGGAACACTTTTTTTTAAATTTCTTCTTAGCCAAGGGCATTCCTTTGGTATGTAAGAACTTGTCATTTCAGCGCTAAACAGTAGTGTGCCTATTTTAAAGTCCTTAAATACACTTGCAAGCTTTAAGAAAGATACAAACCCAGCAATGTTTTCTATTGTTTAATCAGTGTCTTTTATTGTTTGATCACTTGCCTTTCTGTGGTATCACATACTGAATGTATGTATCATTCCAGTAGCTCAGAGGCTGCCACAAAGCAGAGAGAGTCAAGCTATTCTTCAAAGCACCTGAAGGTAGGGTTAGAAGCAATGGATGGAAACCAATCAAGGAGAGAAGCAACCCAGAACTAAGGAGAAATTTCCTGACAGTGAGGACAATCAACCAGTGGAACAATAATGCAGTAAAATTGAACAATTATTAGAATAATGATTTGTCTGCATAACTGCAATAATGATGTGTCTGCATAATTGCTAGAACAATGATGTAATGCATAATCACTGGGAAAATTCACTGGGAAAGTTCTCTGTCAGTAATATGTGGCAACCAAATGCGCTCTGCACATGGATACTTTGTATGTAGCAAAACCTTCCATTCTATG